TGCCGAAGCAATCAAAGAGGATTTGTAAGGCAAAGAATAGGAATGTCATGTAACGGCCAAGTCCATCACCTGACCTGAATCTGATTGAGCATTTTCTTTGCTGAAGATAAAACAGAAGGAAAAGGGGGTTAAGGGAGTCATCCAACAATGAGAGTTGGTGGTTTAATTCCACCGCTATTCAATCCCATGTTGAAGTGTCCTTTGGCAAGACACTGATCCCCCACTGCCTCTGATGTGTCCCATCAGTGAATGAATGTGATGAGCCGATTAGTCTCTATAGAATGATTTATCTAGATTAGCTTTGTAGAGAGGTGTGTGAATGGGTAAATGAAGGCACAAATTGTGCTGTGAGGCGCTTTGAGTATCCTGGTTGTATAGAAAGGTGCTACATAAGTACAGTTCAATTACCTTCAAATTAAAGCTGAAAGTCTGCAGTTAAAGCAAATCTTGTTAATTTAATTTCAAATCGACTGTGGCATTGTTTACAGCCAAAAAGATGAGAATTGTGTCCATGTCCCAATATTCATGGACCTGACTGTAGATGCAGTGTGTGTTGGGAATGATTCTCAGCTACTATCAAACCAAATTGGCTCAATAGCTTTAAAAACAGACAGAATTTGAGACATTTTTGTATTCAATAAGATTGCTTATTGTAGCCATCTTGAATTGAATCGACTCCAATAAATTAAGGGTGTTAATTACCAGTTTTATTACAATACGATATATCGACTTCTTTGAATGATGACACAATGTCTCTTGATGTCGTGATATGATTTTGATTCAGTTAAATTCACAAGTCTGCAATCGGTGTGATGCAATATTGTCCCCATCGAGCACGTGATGATAATATGGATCAATGGTTTTTGTTTTGCCTCAATGTAATTTAATCAATACACTGATGTGGATTAATGTATTGTTACACTCCTGTTGTAGGTAAAGATCCCATAATTATTTTCCCCAACTGTTATGGAAATATTTATTTAACAAAGACAGAAATACATGGTCCAACAACAGGAACACAGAGAACAACATCAGACTGTCCCCCTGCTCTCTGCTTCTGCCTCTGTTTCACCCCTGATGCAGTTGAGAGGCCTCATATATATATACAGTATATTGTTTAACAAACACTATTATGTCATCTTAGCAAGATTTCATCCTAGGTCAAGAGAAAACACAAAGATAAGCACAAGTGATGTCTAAGAACGACTATTGTTGTTAGCAAATCTTGTTCTGACTTCAATCATTCTGTCTGCAGATGAACAGCATGTCATGAAAACCTAGGTCATTAAAGTATGTCATAAATTATTGGCTTAAACATAAAAGTATTAGTTCCACCATACAACAAATATTTGTCTTACTGTTGTCTCCATGACTTGAAACTGTGTTTACAGTTAGATTGATAAACTTACAATAGTAACATACGGACCCATAAGTTTTGACTTGCCATCCATGTTGCCTTATAGGACCTCTTGATATAAGCCCATGCCAGTGGAGAGGGAAAAAAAATGGCTCCAGAGTGTTGGGTTTTATTAGTGTGGTCTCTTCTGTGAAGCTTCAGCCAACATTTCTTCCCTTCCAAATGGCAGAAAGGCTCAGCTTCCAATAAATAAGTTAGTCATAAGTCATTTTCCACTGCTCTCACATACAGTGTGAGGTGGAGGGTATAGTTGCTGAAGCAGCAACACCATCTGCAGAGAATCACTTGGACCATCAAACCTGACACAGACTGACTCCCCTGCACACCTCCATAGAGAGAAATGAACCAGCCACTGTTTGAAACGCTTCGCTGAGCATTGGTCAATATCGTCATCATCCCAGAGCAGTTCTTAATTCTATTTGGCCCAGAGCTAAAGATCCTTGTATTGATCACAAAGCAAGGATGACACAACTCCTCTCTGTAGCTGCATTGTTCAAAAGATGAGATTGTAGTCATAATTTAATGCACTGAAATGTATTGGAATAACCAATCACAGCCATCTATGCTAACAAGGTGAGAATGTGTGCCGCCATCTTGGTAGGTGCTAAACAACAGCCTGATCCTCACCAAACTGTGGATGTTGTTGTTTTTCTTTTGGTTGCTCTCTTTTCCATGGATCTTCACAGTGAGAGCCAAATGTTGGATACCCTTCCTGATGCAAACCAGCAGCTTCAGACCGCAACACTGACCACTTAACTAACACAGCCATATGRCAGCCAACTACTGGTGTCTAAGGAAATAATCTACCAAGCCAAGAAGCCCACCATTTTCCCATTAATTGTCTTGATATTGTTTCCTATGATGTACAGTATATTGACTATTGTGTGACTTTTCTAGGTTGTAGAGAGCGGCCATGTTTGGGGCAAGGACAACTCAACAGAGAGTACTGTTAGCCACAGTTAGCTATAAAATAACAACCATTATTTTGATTTGACAGAAAGGTTTGTCAGTTATTATATCAAGCAAAAAACATGTTGCCAAAGTACACGTCTGCAATGAACGATGCTTCTGAAGCTAACCAACGAAAAACAAATACTGTATTTATATGCAATTCTATGTAAATCAATCATTTTCATTTACAGCCCTTCCAATATGGCGTCGTGCTCGTGTCAGGTCAATCCTCTGAAGCCTGCATGAAGCCACAAGTCAATATTCCTCATCGATTGTTTCATCATGGTAGCCCACTCGGTTGGCGTTTTGCTGCCGCTAACATTAACAGAGGTTGGCCAGAGGCTCATAATAGAGGACTCTTGTCTTTTGTTTTCACAATATGCACAATATATATTTTTTATGTAAAATAAAGCTTTTTGTATGTGTTTTTTATGATGTACCCTCATGCATCTCACACAAGGCTTTAACAATGTGCGGCTTTGACAAAAAGCATTAAAAGCAAGATGGCAGTCATACAACTCACCTCGTGTACTCGTTGGCCGGTGGGTGTCTGTTTTAGTGATCTAGTGCTCAGTGTCAGCCACACACGAAAYGCTGGATCACATGGCTCAGATTAACCCTTGAGTTTTAAAACAAGAGTTACAGTCATAAGACGCAAATGCCGAGAGGGACCTCTGTGTTTTGTTGAGGGTTGCAGAAAAAAGGCAGCTCTCTTTCATTTCCTGTTTCGAGAGATGAGAAATATTGATATTAGTCTGTGAGCCCTCTCAGCATGAGGCAGAGTGTTTCAGAGAAGCGCCAGCGACAACACCTGTGCCGAAGTACGACTTTGTTCTCGACGCCTCTGCCGCTGCCTTTTAGTGTKTGTTCGTTCGCGTGTGGGTGACAAGAGGACAGAAATTTCAAGTTGACGTGCCACTGAATGCATCTATTGCTGTCCCATATATGTACACACACACACACACACGCGCACACACACAAGCAGAGAGCATCGTCACCTGCCACAGACGATACACTGTGGCCTTTTAGAGTGGTTAACAAAACAGGACATGTGTTGCCCCAGGTGACTCAAACTGCAAAACTAACAACGCCACGCTTCAGTGCACCAAGAATTCCGCGTAAAACACCAGCAGAAAGRTTTTGCGCTTGTGTGCCGATTCACATGCGTGTCTGTAAATGTACGAGTTGATGGTTATTCATTTGTGTCACAACAGATTCATTTTAATGAAAAAAACCCAGTTATTATGGACTTCATTTGAGGTTATTCAAAACACCTGCAGCATAAACAAAGACAAACAATGTGGCAGTGTTGAAAAATTATTAAGATTCTTTCTTCAGTTACTGTTGTAAAAATCACAAAGTACACTGTACATACAGTAATAGTGATTATATAGAGTTATGGGCATTTTTTGATATTTCTATATGCCAAATGGCTTTTAATAAGATATAAATAGAATTTATGTTATGTCAAGTTTTAAATTGTAATTTTTGAAAATTGTTCTGTCCTGTCAGAGACACATTCTTGTCTTCTTAATCACGAATTTGACCACATGTTGGTTTCTGCTTAATTACCCACTTTTTAAGGGGTGACCATTGGATCTTAGTATTGATTAAGATCTACAGAGGGTTTTTTTGCATAGTAATTTTAAATAATTATTTCATGAAAACAACAATGAATTAATTTATCTCAGGAAAAAATAAAGAATCCATCAATGCATTCATTTATTTAATCATTAAACCTTGGAACTTTGATCAAATGTGCATTACAAATATTTCATCATTTTCATCACAATACTAATGTGGTAATAAACGTTTTGGCTCATCGGTCCTGTCTGGTATAAACTTGTTCAAAGGGCTGTTTACAACAGGTAAGATAACAATTCTTCAGGAAATTTTCCTTAGAACCATATTTAAATCCATCCAAAAAAAGAACCATATTTAAAAATGGCCGGAATATCTTTTTTGTAGTGGTTAAATTGCCAAATATAAAAATATATAATAACAAAAACGGTCTTATTTAATTAAATGGGACACTTAATTAATTTCCAGTTTTGCACAAGGGGTCATTTCTAAAGGAAAAAGCTTTCCAAACAGGTAAAACAAAATAATGATTGTCCTACATATTTGCTAAATTTGATTTTGAACACAAAACAAAGCAAAAGAAACTGATAAATTAAAACAGATCGGTATAAGTACAGAAATWTATTTTAGGTGCTTTTTTGCTTTAACTGCAGTGTAGCACTATAAAGTTGGTATTCACTTATAGTGTTTTTTAATGTGATGGTAAAACACAAAGATGTTGTGTTTTTCGGTGTGTTGTGTGTGTCAGCTGTTCTTCAGGTCCAGCTGTGTTGGTTCATCTCAACATCTCCGCTCCTGATTGGCTGCAGAGACAGAACGCAGCGGAATGTTTAAAGACCGTACCATTTCAGCTAACAAGGAGGGGTGTTTGGAGAAACAATGATCGTACTGTTCTTTTTGTTTACTTCCGAAACGCGCAGTCTTTCCTGAAAAGTAATTATTATGTGTCTGTATTATTTGTAAGAGGTTATAGTAGAGTTAAAACACCAAGTAATAAAACAAATAAAGTGAGTGTGTGTTGTGCAGCACCTGCCGGTTTAGGCTAACGGTTTGGCTCAAGATGGCAGGAGAGAAACAGTGAAGAGAGCCGAAGGTTTTCTGAAAATTTACAGGAAAAATGAGTCGTTGTGAAGTTTGAAGGTGCTCCTTTCTGACAGCCGAGGATTCAGGTCAGAAATGTTTATCATCTGTCTAGCGTTTATTGCGACTCTCGTGATTTTAGTTTGAGAAAACGGAGCAAAACACTGCTCGTTTGCAACATTTTCACGGTAGCCTTCACTTGCTGAGGAAGACTGCCTGCGTTTCTTCCCGATTTTCAGCCTGCATCCTGGTTTGAAACCCAAAGTGGTGCTTGTGAAGCACGTAATATTTCATGAAAGAGCTTATGCAATGAACAGAGGGCGGAGAAGTGCGAGTCCGGCTGTGAAACAGCGGGTTTGAGGCGAATGTGGAGCAGGCCTGCGGCTAACTCTGCAGCTGTGCAGCGCAGAAAATACGTCACGAAACAGGATTTCCACTAAAGGAGCGTTTCTGCACAGAACCAGCAGAGCTGCAGAGCTGCAGACTGGGAACTCCTGCATGTTCAGGAGTCCTGATTGTGCACCTGATGCATAATAATTAAAGTATGCAAATATAGCTTTCTGTCAATTTTAAATCAGCACAGATATGCTGGCCTTTTTAAATGTATCGACATGTTCAGATGTTAGCTTCTAATTTAAGTGACATTTGATTGATGTTGCCTTTTAAAATAGTATATATGTCTGACTGCTGACTTAGCTGAAATACTGGTTCAAAACACTAAATTTGTGATTTTCCTACATTACAGGGTCATTACACAAACAAACAAAGAAACAAACAAAAAAACAAACAAACAATTTCCTGGCTAGTGGATTGGAGTAATCTGCATTCATCATAAACAGAAAAAGTATCTGTAGTCCCATCCAGTTCTTTTTTTAATGTTTAGAAATTTTGCACCAACAAAAACGGCTGGATTTTTCTGTAAGTGTAAAAATACCTTTTCTAATTTCAACTACAGTGATACGGAGGACCAAACCTGCCATAAAAATAAAAGGAATGAATGAACAAATAAACAGATAAATATACACACTTAAAATGATCAAACTAATTAAAAAAATTAAAACTTTACCTCATGTATGTTTTAATGGACCTTCATATTTATTGTTCCAGCTTAGTTCCAACAAATTATATGCTTTATCATAAAATTTAAATGTTTTTTTTTATATTTTTGTTTTTCCTTCAACCTGTAGATCAGGGGTGCCCAAACATTTTCCCCAAGAGGGCCAAAATGAGAATCTATCCGGGGCTGCGGGCCAAATGCAGTAATATAATATATGAAATACAAATACTATTTTAGTAAAGTCCTTTATTTTGTAACGATTAAGCTAGCAGCCAGTGTGGTGGCCTGTTTTTGTTTTAGTCTGGGTACTTGGAGAAAGTCTGCCATATCCTCAAGTAGCAAAGGCTCATGGGAAATTTCATAAATTGATAAAATACGAGTTTTTCTGGCCTTGTAAAGCGTGCAAATCTACATGTGGGGTTAAATATAATCTAAATGCCCCTTTTTACTTGTATTTTACATTTCATATTTAATCTTAATATATCAAAGATAAAGTCAGAACCATGAGTGAAAACTGTCTGTACCACAGCCCCTTACAGTCAATGAGCCAATGGATGAAATGACAAAGTGGAAATACTTTTTCTACATAGGACGACAGGTTACAACCTAGTAACAATGTCAGCTGCTGGTGGGCCAAATCAAATGGCTTGGTGGGCCAAATTTGGCCCGCGGGCCCCACTTTGGGCTCCTCTGCTGTAGATGCATTTGTGTCACATTTTTTATGTTATTTTTTTTTCTTACACGAGTCTTTTTATTTCCATGTGTTGTTTTGCATCTTTCTGTTTCTTGTTTTTACCTTACTTTATGCATTTCTGCTTCGTTATGCAAATAAGCTGGGCGGCCCTTCTTGGGTCAGCTCCTCTACTRTTGGTCAATAGAAAGGAAGGAGCAGGAGCTATGTGCAGATGRTTGTGCATGCCTGCGCCTCCTCAGTTTAGCTTAAACTTTACGTTTAGTTTTTCCCCCCTGCCTTTGTTTTAAACTAAACTTTTTAAATGATGTCAGTTTGCGTCCTGTGAATTGCAACTTTGCCCTGCAAAATGACTCTGTGTTTTGCAGATTTTTTTCACAGAACCTAACTGTGTGTGGTTATTAAAACTACAGAAACCGGAAACACAGTGCAGTAAGGAACATCAGTAGATTGTTTTGTAGTTAAAAATGCACAAGCTCACTTGTTTTATTGTGAAAATGCTGAAGTTGCTTYGGAAATGCCATTGAAATTAAACAAATTCAACAGTAAATTTATRCTGTTTTACAGACCCAATGTATTTAAATATTTTAACCACTGAAAAGGCTTATGAACATTAATCAAATAACATTTGCTGAAAGGCTTAAAAAAAGACAATCTCTAAAAATATGTAGAAATTATGCCAACTTTTGTGGCAAAGATTTTCTTTTAAATGTCCTGATGCATCTCAGTAATCCAGGTAAAAAATCAAAAAGAAAAAAGAAGTAGGTCCTCTGATGAGTTCTTCTTTAGTGAAACGTTTCGTCTCTCCTCCAAGAGACTTCTTCAGTCTGAGATTTCTTTTAAAGCCCTTTCAATGAATAAATATGTTTATTGTTTGAACACATAGTTAATTTTAACAAATTATTTTAGTAGCAAATTGAAAATAAATGTTTAATTCAAAGAATTCACATTCAAATGTGTGTAACATTGAATTGTAAAATTCAAAGGTACACACATTGTTCTGATTTGTGAATTATGTAATATACAATCAAACAATGCTGTGAAACACATTAGTCATAGGGTTTGTTAGTATGCATGAATGGTTAAAGAATTACTTGTTTTTTTTTCACACAGGAAAGACTTGACAGCATGTTCTGAATATTCACTCAGTGTAATCTCTGCATGAAATCATGCAGGCATTTGTGTTTAACTGTAACTCCTATTTCTAAATATGTTTTTTAGTTCTTTATGTAAGAATTCTCCCTTTTTTGTTGTTTGTGGAGTGTTGGGGGCAGTTTCAACAGACCTGATCARCTGTCAGGGATGAAGTGTGTCCTGTTTTCACTTTGAATCTTTCCTCTTCTGCTCATCATTCACATTAAAGTCTTTAAACCTGCTAAAAAACMGAGTAGACTGAAAGAAATGGACGTTCTGATTTAGACCAGGAATGCAGAGGTACAATTTAAAAGCTTCTTTTTCTTAGTTTGCTATTTTAGAAATTGATGTACTGCAGCAGCAGTCCCTGGAAGTTTCACTGCCTGTCATATTTTATTTCTGGTGAAACAAAATGCAGAAGTGTGATAAAGATCTATGGCATTTTAGACTGTTRCTACAAACTGAGCTCTGCTATAGACGTCTGCTTTGTGTTTGCCTTTAAAAATCTGAGTTTAATAGCACGAACATGAAATTCACACAGCCTGTTTACTACATTTTGCTATTTCTATTAAGCTGATCACACACAGGGAAACAACAGCCTCAGCTGGAAAACGACCTTGCAATAACTTTTATTGTTCTTGTTTGAAAATCTGTTTTGGAAAACTGGYGGGCCTGAGCCTTGTTTTTGAAATGTTTTTTTGCTGACTTAGAGAAGCTCTGGAGCTTAAAGATGAGTCATTGTGAGGAACATCCTCTCTTCCCACACATCAAAACAAAGGCAGCGTTCGGCAGCGACTGCCTCCTTTTTTATCACGCAGCCCACTGTGGGAAATGCCTCGCACTTTAAAGGTTCATCGCAAGTTGTGATTAAGGAGCGTTACATGGTGAGAGATGGTCTGTCCACATGATCTGAGCGAGGGTCTGATACGTAATCCCCAGCATCCAAGTGTAAACACACGTCAGCGCGACGGGACCGTTGAGTCTGAGCCGGTGAGTAGATCCAGTGTGGTTTCACATGTGGCTCGATGTAGAGGGAGGGAGCTGCCAAAGGAAACTTAGATGCTTGTCTGACATTTCCGCGCAGTCATAACCAAGCTCATCTTACCATTAC